TAACCCTTGAAGACAAAACTGGGGAGTTCGATGCCTAGAAAATTGTGATCTATATTTTAGAATTTAGTGTGGAGTCGAGATAGGTAGCGCATCGAAAAAATCTACGGAAATCACACGCGAGATTTGGCGCAGTGGTTGTAGGTGGTTATACGGTTATTTGAAAATTGTCAAGTTTTAACCGTTGTTGAAGCCACAAAACGTTTTTAGTTTGTCCGAAGGATATGCAAAATAAAACTTTTTTGGCAAAACACTGATAAATATTAGTTTGTGATATTAACCGGCAATTTGGTGATGAAGACATTAGTTCACATAAACTGTTAAACGACAATAAAGATGAATTGGGGTGTTTTCTTGCTTGGTTTAGCTTTAAATATTTAGTTTAATGTACTTTTTTACTTACTTCTTATAATGTCCTTCATTGAAAATTAGCTTGCCGCCGGGAAAAGAAAGGAAGGAAACGCCAATCCTTAATCTTGCTAGCTCGTAAACGAGGACATGGGGTCATTCTCTCGAGTCCTTGAGTCTCAAAGTTCTTCAAGACCACGAAGAGCAAGAAGAGGACGAGCCTTGAGCAAGACAGAACGAGTGAAAGTATGGGAGATTGAGTGATGTTGCATTGGAGGGGGGGGCACAGAAGGAGAGAAATAGGTGGAAAGAGTTATGGAGGAGACAGGAAAAAGGGGAGAAAATAAGTGAGGAAAGGAGAGGGAGGGAGAAAGGAAGAAACAGCAGGTTCCTACATGACATCCGGGTCTTCACAGCCGCTTCCGATCTCGGTAAGGAAAGCCTATATGCCGGTCAATATCTCAAAAGTATTTTATGGGAGCAATTTTGATTTCCCTTTCTTGGTGCTTGATGGGGGACTGCCCATTACCCCTCCCCCCTCCCCCATGGCTTATTGCGAATTTCTGCTGTCTGGCAATTGTGAATGCATCATTAGTACATGAGACATAAGTATGCATAGAGGGAAAGGGCTTTCAAATTCAGGAATTGAAATGGGACTTCTGTTTATCAGTTGTAGTAGAGATTGTATTGCTTTCACATTATTTCAATAAATTGAGTGTATTGTTAGTGTAGGACAGTAAAATTCCTGTATTTAGTTCGGTGATGAATAGCACACATATATCTGTCAGTATATGTATATGTGTCTGTGTGTGTGTGAATCTTTATTTATTTTTTAAAGATTGACTATTGAAGCTGTGATTCTGAATTAATTCAGATTTTTATTATTTTGATCATCAAAAACTTATAGCTGGTTATAATTGAATGTGTGGGATTTTGTTGCTGGCATTATAATGATTGTGAAGTCTGAACCTCTAGCCATTTTTTAAATTTCTATCATATTCTTTGTGAAGGACCTATTGCCAAAGAGGCAAACTTGATTGTATACTGGAGTTGACAGAAAAAGTTAGCCAAGCTAGATTGACCTGTTTTGCTTACCAATATTCCCAGCATGTGAGTAATAGCTTTTATTTACCAAAATATAACTAGCTATTTTTAAGATAATGACAAAGTTACTTGTTTTCCTTAAATACGGTTCTGTCACTCAGTCCCACCACCATCACCATTAACTTTGGCCCTATATACAAATAAAAGCAAGGACATCAATAAAACATGCTTGTCATGGGTCATCACTCTTCTTGGGAATATTCAACCTTTCATTATTTCCTGTCCTTGGTAAAGGAAGTTTTAGAATTTCATAGTGCAGGATCTGATAAGGAGTAGCAGCTTTGTTGGTATTACAGTATGGAGCCCAAGTTGTGTGATTTTGTTAATGAATCTTTGTATAAGAATAAGAATGGTTGATACATAACCTTTAATTGCTATTTCACTGTAGATATGCAAGAAGTTCATTTAAAAAGAACATTCTCAAAATTATTTGTAAATTAACCTTGGAAATATACAGTGCATATATTTAGGTCTGCAAAGACATAGACAAGATAATATTTTAAGTTTTTAAAAAGTTCTTCTAAATGCCTTAAATTTGTTAGTTATTTCAGTAGTTTAAATTAGTGTTACATTGCAGTTAAAAACTGTACCATATTTTTCCTGCTTGTTTTTTTCAAGAGGGAGTCCTGCAGATTTTTTTATAATCTTTGATATTGTTGTGATAAGGAATGCATGCAGATAGCTGAGAATAGATATATAGCAGTATGTTTGGTAAATATATAGCTGCCACTGCTTACTTTCCATTAGTTTTTTTATATATACATGATATGATGTGTGTGTGTGTACGCAAAAAGTATACCATTGATCAAACGAAAATTTCAGTAATCAGAAATTCTGTCTTGATTTGTTGATTTCCACATTTCTTTATTCCATATGATTGTCTTCAGGAAGGCTGAAACTTCACATGAATTTATAGAAAATAAGAAAATAAAAAATAAATAGATAAAATCCATATGGAGTTCACTTCTCTGGAGTAATAGAAAGGCAATATGTGTAAGATATATGGTCATTGATACACTGCGGCATAATAACCCTCTATGAATTAGTGGCCACTCTGTGATGGAATATAAAATTTTCTATAGTGTAAGACGTCAACAATATTTGGTCTTAAACAGTATGGTTGCTATGTAAAAAATGTACAAAGCAACAAATTACTTTACTTCTACTTATTTTTCTTTCCTCTTTTACTTGTCTTCTTCCTGAACAGAGAGGCCTCTTCCCTTAGCCATATGTTCAGAGAAGAACTGTGCCTGCTTGCCTCATCATATAGTTTTTAAAAGTTTGGTTACCTTCCCTGAGCTTTTGCACTTTTTATTATTCTTACCATATCCTTTCTGAAGTTGAAACAACTGTGATTGCATGTGTGATAGAGTACATGCATACACATATGCAAATACATATATAATACTTTAACTATCCATTGTTAATCTTGTAGCTAGGGGCAAATAAAGTTTGATACAGGTGACCAAGTCATCATATGGTGAAGGTAGTCAGTGATAGATTTTCACATAACTTTTGCAAACCCCTTTGATACTGTGATTCACCCAACATCATTATAGATATCATTAGCTTTATAACATACATTGCTTGAAGTAGAAAAAAAATGCTTCCTTTGTGTCAATAAAAGCAAGTCAGATATTAAAATGCTTTGTTTAGCATTCCAATTTTAACCAGATGATACTAGAAAGTTGCTTAACCAGTTTGGTATTATGGGTGTGGAGAGTCAATGCATTGGTATAGAATGTAAAGTGGCAGTTGTTCAGCGAGAGTTTTAATGGGATATGTGTGAATGGATACTGTCATGTATGGATGAATTCAGCATTTTCCAGGAGCTTCTTTATTTTAGAAGGTAGAGTTATCATGAAATCCATAATGCACAGCTGTACACATACTTTTTCCAGTTCTACACATTTATTCACTCAGTGTGTGTGGGTGTGTGCCCTTATCTGTACATAACTCTTACTGTGCCTCCACCTCCCTCCCTCTACTCCTTTGGCTCCATCAACTTGTAAAACAAAAAAGTTCAAGTTTCACCTATACATTCATCAGTGTGACATGTGAAAGGGTGAAAAAAAAAAAAAAAAGAAATCTGTCATCAACTTGCATATAATTAATTTAGCTATATAGAATACACAGCGAAAACAAGTTATTAATTTTGTGTTATGTTTTCAGGAGTTCAGAGTTCTGATGTCTCGTTGACCTTCGATGACTCAGAAATTGTTGTAAATCCAGGAGAACGGTTGGATTTGAACTGTGGCTTCAAAGGAGAGTATCGCTACTGCATCTGGGAGGTTGAGGGAGCTAAGCCTATCCAGGTAAAGTACTTCATTTGTGCATTTGGTCAAGAAGTTGTATCTGGAACACCCATATTATTGTTATACTGATCAGTTATTTGAAGTCTGATTTTAATAATACACTTGCTTATTTTTATGGAAACTGAAGAGATCGTTTAGAAATAAATGTTGTGAATTTAAGATATGCAGGAATTGTCAACACTTATCTTTTTCCTGATCAAGAGAAATTTGGTTAGAACTAACATGTTTGTGTTGTGACAGGTAGAAGATGTTTATGGGAATTTCCATCCTGGAATGAGTAAGCCAGAGGTATCAGAAGGCAATGAATGTGGAATTGTCATAAATTCTGTCAGTACTGAACAACATGGCATGTGGACTTGCAGAGTGTTCATCACTGGAAACTCACTTGAAGGAACAAAAAATGTTATTGTAACTGGTAAGTATTAAATGATCGACTGAGAATTGTTAAAATGATTTGTTTGGTTCATTAGTTTAGAAGTGTTGTGTATTTTACTCAGCCTAAATCATTGTACTCTCTACATGTTATTTATTTTTAAATTTCAGTAAAGCCAACATACCCAGTTTTAGAGGTAGATAACAGTCAGCTTCTGGAAGTAACCAGTGAGGAAGAGACACCAGTGAAGTGTGTGGTTGCTGCAGCTAGACCAGCTGTGTATTCGCTGGTTCTTAGGAGACAAGGACGTCACTGTCATGGCAGAAACTGAAGAAACACCAACCGACAATGAAGTAAGTTGTGGTGTAAAGCTTGAGAGTAGAAAAACTTATTTTCGTAAAAGAATAGATATGCCACCATAATCGGAAAAAAATATATTATATTATAATGATGATGATAATAATCTAATTACTTCCAGCATGTACAAAAGCATATCAACTCTGCGACGTACCTTTGAGCCAATGGAAAATGGAATGACGCTGACGTGTAGTGTGTCTCACAAGACTCTGACTGTGCCTGAGAATGAAAGCATTCCTTTGAATGTTATCTGTAAGTATAGTACATTGTTCCCAATTTAGTTAATACTGCTCATTTGCCTCCCAATATACAAAGGAACCTGTATGATTTTGTGAGATAATTAATTTTTTTTCTTGTACCCATAGTTATAATAATGTATTCTCTACCCCTATAGTCAAACCAGTTGAAAAGCCTGTGAGCACTTACTACCAGATTCGTCCAGGCTCAGACTATGAAGTAAAGTTGAATTTCTCAGCCAACCCACCACCCATTAGGAAGGAGTGTAGAGACAGCTTCCAGAATATTGCTGTCTCCATTGAGATCCCTGGCGCCAAAGATCGCTATGAGACATACATAGAGGTATGTGTCTAGAAAAACATATTTGGATAATCTTCATAGCTTGCTGTCTTTATGCTGAACATGTTGAAAGCTATATATCCTTTACTGATGACTGTTTTCTTATCAGGAATTAGGCAATGGAATGTATACTGCTACCTTGAGGATTGCTGGGTTCAAGGAGGAAGATGCAAACCAACGGTACCTCTTGGTTGTAGAGAATGACATTGGAGAAACGACATACAAAGTGCGGCTATCAATGGATGACGCTCCCAAAGGTAAAGAGAAACGTTAACTAATGTGTTGTTTTTTCAAAATGTTCTGTGGATTATTTTCAGAAAAGAGATGATACAATGCTGAACAATTACAGTCAGTCAGAATTCAGATAAGTAAATAGTTATGACTTGTTGGCAGTTTAAAATTTGTATAAAGTGGCCATCTAGGGACCTAAGTGAATGAATGTGTATATGTTGTCCTTTTAAATTGCATCACTGTGTGTCCTATTTCTGGTTTTAAATATTTGGTGTTTCTAATTTTGCATCTTGATAACCTTCGCTGCATGTTTTGGGTTTTTATGTGCATCAACGGAATCTTAAACCATTAAGAAGTTATTTTAACATTTTTTTTTTTTTATGCTTTGGGTTTGGTGTAATTTTTTGTTTTCTTTTTTGTTACTGTGTTTATTAATCTTCCTATCTTTTTTTCCCTATTCTCTCTTTCAGAACAGAGGAATAACGGTATTTGTATAAAGTTCTTGCCAAGCCTTATTCTTATATCTTCATATTTCTCATCAATTGTGTTTGATGTATTTTTAAAATCTTTAATTAAGAATTAAGACATGGCAAGAGCGATGCATTTACAGACCTATTTTAAAGGAAACCAGTGAGTGATTATTTAAAACCACAGAACACTTGTACAACTACATTTGCACTATATGGCTTCATTTGTGCAATCACTGACACTTGTGCATCTTTTCTTTCATTTAGTATTTGAAGCTTTTAAATTCATAACACCTATCACTGCTATCCATAATACAGTATGTTATGGTAACCACTGCCTTTGCTTTAACTCACAAGCTTACTCCATGACCAAAAAAAGAAAAAAAATAAAATGAAATAAAAGAATGACCATAGAGAAACAGGTGACAGACTTCTGTTGATGGGTCAGGCACTCAGAACAAAAGACAAGGGTTGGGGAAGGGAGCTATGGAGACCAAGTGTGAGTTTGGAATTTTAAACTCCACATCAAAATATTCTCATTGGAATCAAGACAACCTCCCTGTTAATATAGGTCTTCTGCTATTTCCTCTGTTCTCCCAAAAGCCTTCTAGTACCAAATCATGGTTTTTGCATCACTGTACTTTCATTGTGATGTAACCTCAGTGTGTGTCTTGTTTCTCCCTTAGATGGTGACTCAGAAACTCGCGACCATGACAAAAATCCATCCACAGAATATTTCAGTGTCTGAAGGTATTGTTTCGATGATGATACGATGTCAAGTAAGTCAGGGTGCTAACGTCCCTACTCGCCGAGCCAGTTGCCTTGTTCTCTCGTAATGTTTACTTCTGCCACTCGGACACTTCCTGCTGCTGACTTCACTAATAATTCTTCGTGTTAACTAATCATCTTGATACTAACTGACTTTCTAACAGATCCTTGACTCGCTACTCCACAAGTCTATATGATTTGATAACAAAGAAACCTAACTGGTCTCCTGGGTTCTATGATGTGGAGAGCAGTGGACTACTTAACCTTCCCTCATGTTTTTCTGGTCATGGACTAACATATGCAGCATGTCTTCTTTTAGCTGTTAATATACTTTCTTCCAAGGTTCTATCCTCTAATTTCTTTAATTTCTGTACTTTCACATCAGATGATTATATAGATTTTATTATATGAAGCTATAGTTCACAGGGACATATGATATGGTAAAATATGGTTTTGAAGAGAATCAGCAAGAAGAGAGGTGAATTTTTAAGGCATGGAGTTAAATGTCTAATGCATGATTGAATTCTGCATGTGGTTCTATGTTCTTTTCTTTTTCTGGCCTTCCTGTCTACATCTATGAATGCAGTAAGTTCATTTTGCCTTAATTTTGTTAAATGTTGTAGTTCAAATGCTTTGCTTTTGTAATTTGCCAAGTTAGCACTGACTGACATTTATGTTTAACTTAATGTGGGATATATGTTTATGAAAGTGACCATAATCTTACCACTAATTAGATAATTCTCGAAGCCACACATTTAATGGAATGAATGCAGTGAAGGAAAAGTTGTTGTTAAGTAATTAATCATAATTTCCTTGAATAGATACCCTGAGCGGAGGAGCGGTCGCAGGCATTGTGATTGTTGTGCTGGTTATTGTTGCTGCCGTTGCAGCTGCAGGTTACGCACGGTACCGCCAGATGTTCTGCTTTGGTAAGTACCAACACACAATGTTCTTGATGTGATGTTAGTATGGAATATGGGTATTTGGAACCATGGGCTGTGAATGAACTTATGGCATCACCACAAAAGTGCATGAACACCTTCCTTAAGAGTAAAGAAATTGCCCATTCTATGGTATTTATACTCTCATCATTTTCCACTATTCTCTCAATCTGTCAGCCGTGCAATGATGCAGCCATAGCACCACTGTACAATTGATACAGATGTTTGTTGTATCTCAAGGTATTTGATATGTGAAAAATTGATGACTGTATAATGCTTATGTGGCAGTTAATGAAATGCACCAATTTTCATGTGAGGAGTCCTGCATGTGGAACAGCTAAAAGCAATTTAGCATTAGCTTTAGCTTTACTGTTATTTACTCATATTTGTGTAAACTGAAATACATTCCTAATTTTAGCTATAATATATTTTATTTTATTTTCAACCCTATTTACTTTCCAACTTCATGTGGTTTGGTCAAATAAGTAGATCTGAATGTTTGAAATTTCTGTTGTGCACATTAAATGTGGATTTATCTTTAATTTTTTAAAGTGAAATGTTTGAAGTACAAAAGCCAAACCACTTGCATGACATGCATGACAAATCACTCCTATTGTATACCACTATGGCAAATTCAGTAGATACATCATGAGAATGAATTATTTCAAAATGAAAAAATGCTTGGCACTAATTCCAAGCATCCCACTGTAACCTGTGGAATGGCTCACCTGTGTTGGACCCTGGCTTCTGCCAAGGTCAAGAGTTAGGGCTGTGAAAGGCAAGTGTTTTGGCTGGCAAGACATTGGCTTCCGTTTCCCCTTACTTCATCCTCCTTTTTATTTTCACTGTTTTGGATTCAGATCTCTTTGGGGAAATTAAAGAAAATAAATGTTAACCTCAGGCTGTTTGAAGGACAAGTTCAATTTCTTGTAAATTTCAGCTCGTCCTTCAACAAAGCGTGGGTTACCATAATCTTCTGTGGAGTCGGGAAGTGGGACGTTCTGGTGCAGGGTACAAATTATATTTTTAGTAAATAACTTGGTTTATATTTTTTCAGACTTTAGCTTTTGGTTAAATTTGCATTTTTTCGGTTTACTTCAGCAACTCTATATTTAACTGGCTTATGAACGTATTGTTTTAGCTTTAGCTAAGTTTACTATGTCTGCTGTTTTGTTTGTTTGGCATTCTCTTTGTTTGCAGATTTTTACTTTTAGTACAAAGACATTTTTAGGTAGCCTGCAGCTTATTTATTTTGCTTGACATGCTATCACAGTGTAATACATTAATTGATATGTAAGTTAATATTTTAGATAATTGACTTTATTCTTTATATGTTATATGGACAATTTTCAAAGCATTCTTGAAATATAAATTTTTTTGACCAAGATAGTTTTGCAGTTTGTCTTTGTGATTTCCCCAAATTCTCTCTAGATTCTATTTCATAGACTTTTAGACATGTATGGCATATTTTGATTGTGAAGTACGTGGCTATATCCAACCCTCCTTTCCAACATCCTTTTGCACAACAACACTTGCCTCACTAACCCTTGGCCCGGTCTGCCACAGCCCCACGTGCCGAGAGTAAAGCCTACATCGGAGATGCAGAACGCAACGAAACAGATAATGGCACAGCCAACGATGCTGTCAAGGCCTCCACCGACCACGTCAACGGGAAGACTGACGGCACTGTAGCTAATGGCAATGGAAATGTTGAGCAAACACAAGTGGAGGAAATCAACAATGAAAAAAAGAATACAGATGTGTGAACAGTAATGGATAAAATTTCTGAATGATTGAAAGAGACCATCAAAGCTCAGTGCACATGTTTCTGAATTGTAGAGACCTGGACACATTCAGGAAAATTAGTAATAGCACAGGCTCCAGATCAGTTGTTTGTATGTGTGTATGTATATTTTATGAAGGAAATGTCAAAGTGTTTTGACAGTCATGCTTAATGTCTTTGAATGGTATTATTCTCCCAAAATCACCTTAACTAGCAAGTGTATTGCAATAAATTCAAGAAAAAATTAGTTTCTTAAAAGGTTTCTCAGGTGATATATTCTTATTGAAAGACACAAAATTCATGCTATACAACTGTTAGTTATTGTGCCTTAGAAATGATGTAAAACTCTTCTGGGGTCATGTGGTTAACCTTTAAGGATGGCTGCTAATCAGTGTTTGAAGAATGGGTTGTATTTATACACTGACTTGTGATGTGTGTTTGTGTACACTGTCACTGATTAGCATGAGCTGCAACATTTGATGATGCCAGTCCTTATTATTGAATAATAGATGTGCTGTTTATATCATTCCATTTTAGACATCACAGGTCACACAGCTTTACTTGTTCTGTGACAAGAGCCAAGGTTCAGTTTTGAGGGCCTAGCTCTGTACAGCCAATGATGTACAGTCTTAAATGGTTAATCATCTATTTAGACAAGCCCTGTGGGTGTATTTTATTTATATTTTTTTCATTGCAGTGTGCACCAGAAAACGAAGCACATAGAAGTAGATAACAGGGATGTTTGGCAGGTGGTTTAATTCTAGATTATGTGCCTCTTCTTAAACCATTTTGCCCAGCCTATGTACCTTCCTGTTGTCTCCATCTATAGATATTTTGTTGTGCTGCCACTTAGACCAGGATGATCTAGTCCTTCATCCTCATAATAAGATGGAGAACTTATGAACTCTGTCCTTTTTGAGACAAAACCAGGCTTTTTGGGGGAAGCTTTATATTGGTCACAACTTTTTGTAAATAAAATGTTTTCTGTTCTGCTGAAATGGAAAAGTGGGGGAATATTCATTGGTATCAGTAAAGTGCTGACAACTACTAGAAAAGTGGGATTTCTGCAAGGGGATCTATTGTTATTTTGACTCAGTATTGGCCATATTATAAAGCTCAGTTTATTTGTAAAGCATCAGCAATGAAAGCAGAAGCTGTCCAACCAGGATACTATCTATGTAACACCACAAGTTACTGCCTTTATACATAAAATTCTTGTAATATGTGGGTTTGTGTAGATTTGAATCACGGTACCATTTGCTGAGTGTGATCATTGTTGTGGTCGATCAAAACTTTATTCATATTACCGTATTCAATGTTTTTACCCATGTAATTTTAAGTAAACTATTATAAGACTTTTAATAAATGTTAAATGGAATTTTTTTGTTTATTGAAATTCCTCTCATGATGTATCTACCTGTAGTTGGGAATATGGAATGTATATTTACCTGCCACTGTTTTGTTGCATGACTGCTTTAGTATGACTTTCAGTTACAATTAAATCAATTTTAAATGCATTTCAAAAATACTTATTTATATATCAAATATATCTATATTTTTTACACTGATAAACTGATGAAACAAACAATCTTACACCTTGCTCAGCTCCTGTAGTCACCCCTGATCCTGAGGAAGGCAAGGAAACCAAAGAAGAACAGTAAGTAACTGGTTGTGATTTTATGTCTGTAGTGTACTAACAATTACTTCCTTAACTATTTACTGTGGCTTGGGTTATTATAATGATGTTAACTGTACAGTATTCTAAACTGACTTTAAAGGTGTATACCCAGAAATGGAGATAGATGCAATAGACAAACCTCTTATTGTAAATATCAAAGAACAAAGATTGAAATGTATAAAAGATATTATTTTCTATTGAATAATCAGGACTTGTGAAAAAGTTCAGTCAAGGAAGTAAACTACATCAGTGAAGAAAACCTTGCTAATATAGCTTGAAGAAACAAAGATGAATTAATGCAGGCAATGTGAAGGATAAATACCATAGATTAGATATATTATAATAACTCAAAAGCCAGGTTTCATATATGTCCATACTTCCCAGTCTTTATAAAATGAGCTCCCCTTCATTTTAAAAAGTCTGCCTTATTTACTTTAATAGATAAAACAAGTATGAATTAAATATTTTATATAGTAATGTTTTGCATAGTATTGAGAATCAAGACACCTTGAATAGTAACAGTAAATTAAAACAAGTATCCAAAAGTAAAATTGTATGAGATAAATTTTAATGTAGTGAGTAGCAATGAAAGATTCATATACTTAGGGGGGGGATTAGAGGTGGGAAAAGAGGGGTAGGGGTATGAAGAGAGGGGTAAAGAGAGTAGAGTTATAAAAAGAGAGAAAAAGAAAGGGGGATAGAAGTAGAGCTAGAAAGAGATGGAGAGAGGGGAGGCAGAGGTAGAGAGGTAGAAAGAAATGGAGAGAGGGGGGGTAGAGGTAGGAAGAGATGGAGAGAGGGGGAGGGGAAGAGGTAGAAAGAAATGGAAATGGAGAGGGGGATAGAAGTAGAGAGGTAGGAAGAGATGGAGAGAGGGGGGGTAGAGGTAGAGAGGTAGGAAGAGATGGAGAGAGGGGGGTAGAGGTAGAAAGAAATGGAGAGGGGGGGATAGAAGTAGAGAGGTAGAAAGAGATGGAGAGAGAAGGTGGAAGAGGTAGGAGAGGGATGTAGAGAAATTGTAATAACTCTGTTGCTAAGCAAAAAGACCCAACTGATTGGTTGTGCAGCTACACAGAAAACTCTTTTGGAGGGGTGTTGAAACATTCAATAAAGAACAGACCCTTATGTTATAAAAGGGTTGGTATTTTGGGTTTCAAATGTCTCCTTCAGATTCATGCCTCAAATAGTTGTCCTGGAATTCTTATGATTCACTGAGATGATTTTATTCCTGTAAAGGATGGAATATTCAGATTAGCCACAGATACCCGTGAGTGATTGGAAAACTAGGGATACCAACTGTTTCATAGTGTTAACAACTTAATTTCTAAAGGTATCACTGCTTGTGTCAGAATGTTTTGTATGATTTTTTAATGATCTATCTGTGTAGCTGTACATGTACAGTGAATTACCTTTGCTGTTTTGTTATTAGTAATATGGAAATCATGGCCAGCAATTTTTTTCTTGCTGAAAAAGTATTACACAAATGTGATTTTAAAAATAACTTGAAAGAGTTCACTAGCACCACTTCCATTGATCCTGTTGAACCCAAATTGAATATTTCG